ATTTGTAATTGTTTTCGATTTAGCAACTCGAAAAAGGCCTCAAAGGTTAGAGTTTATATTCAGTAGTTTGAGATGTATGGAGACATAAGACAAGGATTGAAAACTGGAATCGTTGTGAAACATTAACAGGAAATATTGTTCCACAGCTCACGCTAGTGGTATTATTTTTATTACATCATACAGCAGCTTCAAACAATACATTTTTTATAATAGATTTCGAATATTATTAAAAGAACCTTACAATAAACTGTCAGTTATATATTTATTGTGTATGTTGTAAAACTACAGTGCAATTCAACGCCAGTCCACATAATGTTACAATTTCAGTTTAGAAAAGCCAAGAGCTTCCATCTGGACCTTTGTACACCACCCTCCCCCGAAAGAAAAAAAAAACATCTTGGATAGTACTGATGACCGTTAAGTACTTTACAAGCTGTCTAGCCACTTAAGAATGGAGCACGTATTGTGTGAAATAACTTGAATATCAAACGATTATGTGAGACTGTTTGTCCGTTTATTCAAAAAGGCTTTTCTTAGAAGAAGAAAACGTCGTATTTCATAATCTTTGGTAAAATTAATACGATTTTTTGACTTTCTCGCTTTTACTCGATCAGCGTTAAACGAGAACTTACCAACGAAGTACTCGTTAATGACACTGACTACACAATTGAAGAGTTTGAATAAAATAATTTCCTGATTGTTATTATAAGTTTTACCAAACTTCGATTCACACTCGAGTCTTGAAACCTGTGTTAAAGTCTGCTGAAGAGGTGTTATTTTCTGCTGGGAACTTGCAGATACCTCGCTCCCACCCCCCCAAAAAAAAAGACTCGCTATGCTTATGCCCGTACATTCTGCAGTATTTAGGTGAATATTTTGTATCAACCTATATTGTCTGTAATGTCTCAAATTGAATTATAATTGCGTTAGATATTTATCATACGATACAAGTTTTTAAACGAATTAGAACTGTGAGAATTCTGGGTGAAGATTTTGGGGGTGTACACGTGCTTTTTTCATGTTGTAATGTTCTTTTGTTGGGCAATTTCTTTTAAGTTATTTGGTGGAAATAAGGCCAAGTACAGTCCACGTAACAGTAACAAATTAATTTATTTCTCCTTAACCTACAGGCTACTAATCACTTGTAAACAGTTGTACTTGCAGTCTTAAGTTATATAGATATACTCGCTAATGTAACTATGAATAAACTTGCACAGTTTCACGGTCAACACTGATCCAAATACTTCATCAAACCTAAATCACTTAATTATTTGGCACTCTACCAACTGGAAATCTACTCGGTGCTCACTGATTTTCGTACTGATAATGCTGCCTTGTTTCTAGACACTTCGCAAAATCTCTTGATCACTAATATTCACAAATATTCTAGAACAATTGTTATTAAACTTATTCGATCTTAACGTCATGCGCCGTGTGTCTAACATCTCAATTAAAACGTTGAAAATATAGCTTACGACAATATTATTGTTACTAACTGCACAGTCTCGTGAATTTATATTATACAACTGATTTTAAAATATGCACGTTTGAATTTCTTTAAAGATAAAGATAATAAAGATTAGGGCAAAATTAGCGACTTAAATACTTTTTATTAGTTTTGCAATGATCTGATCGTAATAATTGCTTAAACACAGAATTACAGCTCACTATCATTGTAGCCATGTGTTTCATAGTCAATGTCTTGAAATAGGTCATATATATAATATATTGTTGCGTATCTGCTTGTTTGTTAATTTCCGGTAGAAATTATTTCCGAGGAACTTCAGCGATACAAGTCC